GGATTTGGCATCAGAAGGCAGATTCCTACCACTTAACAGCTTACAGTGCTGGGCAGGTTGTATATCAAAACAACTACAGGTCTCTCCCTTTGAAATTCAAAAACATATTCTAGATTGTTCAAACATACGCAAATTATCTGATCACTATCACACACACACAAAAAAACCCCAAAAACAAAACCAAAAAAACCCCTTTAGGGTTTCTAAATGATTTACAGAAGGGCTGTGTTTCGCTAATTGATATGAAGACAGTAATTCCTGAAATGATTAACAGTCAATAACCTTGTACTTGAAGGAGGAAGAAAAACAATCTATGGCCTATGATTTCAGAGATAGCCATTAGTTTCATATGCCTGAAATGGAACAGACGTCCACATTTTCCAAGGCGGGAGGGTAGAGATCATAAAAGACTGCTCTAACTCACTTTGTCTAATACCTGTAGTAACTTTCCAAGTAGAACTAGGAGAGACCTCTTCATCTTTAAAATAGGAATCATCTTAGTGATTATAGTGTTCTCATAAACTGTCCCTCATACCCCATAGCCAAAGGATAGAAACAAAAACAACAACAAAACAGTTTGCACTCTGAGAAAAACAAAGTAGATTCACCCGGTCCAGCACTAGATTCTCCCCACAACACACAGCCTTAAGTCTGTTACCACAAATTACTCCATAATGAAAAGTTACACAGTTTTCTGTTGACATCTACCAACATGATAACCATACAAAATAGCTGGGTTTTGCTATTTTATTGTATTAATAGACTACCTATAACTTTACAACCTTGTTTTTCTCTGTTACATTTTTTATTCATAGAGCCAGTTCTAAAACCTAGATGTCCTTGCAAAATTATGGAAGTAATAATTCTTTTCTTTATGACATAGCCTTTGAGCCTTTCTTTCCCAGAAGTAAGTAAATGAGATAAGGAATCTTGACTTCACAATGCTCTACAAGCAGTTAAGCATTCACTCGAGAGTGCTCACTGTTTAGAGCAGAAAGCTGTAGAAGAATAGTGTGTCTAAAGTACCATTTTGTGAAGATACAGGAGAGAATAATCAGATCTGGGGTTATGAGGGAAATCTTTATAAGTTCGTGGGAAAACATGAACTACGTATGAAAGAGAAAGAGAGAGAGAGAGAAAGAGAGAAGGGAGGGAGGAGAGACAGGAAGGGAGGAAGGAGGGAACAAAGGAAGGACAGACTACTTTTGAAGCTTTTAAACAGAAGTCAAAGGGAAACCCAGGCAGAGGCCCAGAGGAGCAAAGGAGTTTGATGTTTTATGATAACTGTACTTTCTTTGTAATTATTGCAGCACAGACACAGGGATACTGTGTTAATATAAGTTCTGCTCTTGAGACAGTAGGTTGCCTTTATTAGGATGGTCAGCTAGCTTTTAAATAGAATCCAACAACGCTCCAGAGGCAGCCACTACAAGAACTTCAACTATCTTCATCTCTGATCAAAAGTAGATGCTCATTAATTAGCACAATGGATGTAAGAACTCAAGTTTCACTGCTAAAATTAGTGGCTTTTTACTAAATACAATGGATCTTGGAAATGAACTCTCCACAGTGAAATCAGTGCTATTCAAGACATATGGATTACTTAACATAATTTAGAGACACAGTCTACATCTGTAAGTATCTAGTGGGGCCCCTGGCCTGCCCATCCTCTTAGGGAAACTTTCAGGCTTGATTCCAAAATGGTCCTGTGTCCTGATGAAGAATATTCTTAGATGTCATAAAATAGCCTAATCCTGCCATTGGAATATTGTCATATTTGCCTCAGGGAAATCTTTCTTGTAAGGCTCTTTGGGAATACACACTCACATGACAGAGTTAGAACTCTTTCATGTTTGTAGGATGGCTGACATGCCTGCTTGTTAATAAATGTATACACAGCAAAATTTGTCCAAATTTTCTTTCATTATTTTGTGGAATCAAGGTAGTAGGGGAGCAATTAACCATCTCTTACCCCTGGTCATTACAGTTACCTCATTTACCCAAGAAGACCTGAGAATTACGCCTGACTGCATTGTCTTAGGTCTGTTCTCAACAGCTGTGTTTGCCCAAGGCCAGCATCTCATTCTAACTGGAACTCTGTGCAATCAGATTCCACAGGGGGTGGCGAGATGGGAAATGTCAGTTGGGTCACCCTGTGACAGCAATTGCTTTTTGAGCTAAGAAGCCTCAACTTGCTCTGGTGGGCAGCATAGAGGCATACTTTTATTCAAAGAATCAAAGTCTCTTTTCAAGAGGTACAATATACATGTACTATGATGATTAATTGGAAATGGTGGGTGGGGAGACAGTGAAGCAAGTGAGGTAGAGGGTGATACAAAGAATTGAGATATAAAATGGAGGATGACAAGGAATGAGTGTGGGGGATGGGCAATTTGAAAGCTGGGTTTGGGACCTCTCATGCTAGAAATAATGTATCAGTTTTACTAGAAAAACAAATGGTAATAAAACAAGAGAACGGGGAGAAGGACATTTAGATTTACGAGTTATTTATGCACAAGTACAATTGAAGATCGTACCAAAAAGGTGGGTATTGTGGAATTAGAAGAGAAGTGCTAAGGTCTGAATCCAGGAGAAACAATAAAATGTAAGGTTATGCAGAGGAGGACAAGGAGTCATGAGAAGAAACCAAGAGAGCAAAGCTCCAGTATGTTCTATCTTGGAAAAACAGAGTCCTTCTGATATAGCACTAATGTGGTCAAGTAATGCCCACTGTAATGACTTGAAAGGAATTGGATTGGTGTGTCCCTGATGCCAGCTGCTCCATTTCCTGGTTTGATACAGTGGCTAAAATTCCTGGGATTTGTAGTCATTCAGACCTGAGTTTAAATTCTTTTTCTAGTTGTGTGATTCTCTGAGTATCAATAAAGTAGTCAACATGCCACTTGTTATTTAGTAAGTATTCAACAAATGGTCAATGAATCTGTTATTATCATATCACCATAGTAGGACGTTACTTCAAAATATTAGCTAAACTTTTTTCCCTGTGCGTCCTCACACTCTTTGCTTTTCCTTATATCCAAGAGGATTTTATGTACTCCCTTCCAGGGGGGAGGTGATATGGTGGCCAAGAATAAAGAAGGCATCACTCAGCTGTGGTGGCTTTCAAATGACATATTTTCAAAGGCAAGTCAAGAATCTGAAAAGCACAGGGTCTCTTTAACAGTTATCTCTTCTTTGGAAGAAGAAAGGACTGTGGGAGGGCTAGAAGAATGAGGATTTGATGAAGTCAGAGAAATTTTCCACTGGAAGAGTAGTAATTATTCAACCATAATAGCATGTGAAGAAGGATCTAAGGGGATGCAACCAAGGTTGCATCTAAATTATCCATACCCTTGTACTATTCAGAACATGACAAAAAATGACCTGGAAATTGATAGTTTGGGTAATATCATTCAGAAGACAGTCATATTCAAAACAGGATTCATAGATAAAGTGAGACTTGTTCAGGTAACCTGCTTTTTCAAACACCTTCTACTGTGTTACTTGTGCAAAGAGATCTTTAGATAATACTGAACATACTACATTTTTAAAAGGTAAAAAATAGTGGACTCAGTGTTCAATAAAATAAAGGCATTGAAAATAGACCTATTTTCAAATCCTATCTTGGCCACTTACTGTAATACTGCATTATCTTCTTCAGCAAGTTGTTTAATCTCTGGGAGCCTCGGTTGCCTTATCGATAAAATGGAGATTGTAATACAGATCTCCGAACATTATGAGGATTAGGCAAGAATGATTTGAAGAATGCCTAGCACTTTGCTTGGTACTCATTCAACAGTAATAGCTCTGACACCAACAATTTTCCCATACGTCTTTGAAGCAGTAGCAAAAAAATTACTAATTTGTATGAACAGGCAAGAAAGTTACAAACAAAGAATAAACAGGAAATCACTTACAAATTAAAAAACAAAAGAAAAGCAGTTTTGCTATAGCACAGATGTCACCCTAATGGGAAGGGGAGAAGGTTAAACAGGGAGGAGAGGTAGGCACGCTGAGTACACTGCTCCTCTCACAGGTCTGACATTCTAGAGTTCTCCCTGTGGATTCATACTAGAGGGCCCTGGAAATGTGGTAATGTGGGCAGTTGCTCCATTTTCTTGGGTGCCACTTAGTGCAAAACTGACTGTCAATGAAAAAAAGTTGATAAATATGATCAAGAAACCTTTCCCATCTGCGCTATTCCTGTCAGTTTGCATTTGCTTCGTCTATTGCAAATTTATCTTTTGTATCAATTGCTTCCAAATGACCAAAAAAGGAAAAAGCTTAAGTCCTCTAATGGGTGGATTGGAGAACTCTGTCTTATGGATCCCAAATTCCTCTTAAAGTGTACACATATTCAGGACTGACCAGAGGGGGCAAATAATAATTATGATTTCTATGAAAATGATATTTATTTGTCCATTTTGAGTAAAAATATTATTAAAACAATGTGCTTGTGCACTTTCCTATCTGTTGGTCCACACGTGAAATAAAAATTGGCTTGTCTAAATATAACTAAGTAAACAGGATTGAAAAGACTACTGAATGAATTCTAAGATATTTGGTTTAGTTTATGAGAATTGGTCAGTTTAAACAAGAAACACATGGAGATTCATTTCAAACTACTGGGCTAGGGAAAACAATTAAAAGAGACACTCCTTATCTCCAGAAAAGTAAAGCTGGCCTTTTAGTACTACTTACAAGGTGAGGGAAAGTGAACACTCAGACGGCATTGCCATCAGCTTTTGTAATCCACGAGTCTTGTTTGGAATAGGATTCTGAAAAGGGTAGGTGTTGCTTTACAATTTTTAGAGGAAAATAGCTATTGGCTTCAAAGCATCACACATGTAGCTTTGTAGTAAAGATGAATTTACAAACTGAACACTTTGGAGAGGGTGTAAGAACTGCTGCCAATGGTTATTCTCTCCCCTCAATAAAACAAAGGCAGGAAACGAATGAGGATATTCAGAAAGTACGTGGAAAGCAGGAGCTCATCTTACCTCCATCCAGTTCCTCAGCCCCAAAATGATTCCTGTAGAAAAGCATGATTTCTATCTTGTAACACTTGTAGATGGTCACCAAACAAACAAGCAGCAAAAGGATAGCACCGAGCCCTCCAGCAAGTTCAACTGTGTACATTAGTTCTAGGAACAAGATCACAGGAGGGAATTATACCAAATTCACGTCCAAAGTCATATATTCAACTTGATTTCACAGTTCTGTGGATGAGACCAGATGCGGGTAATAGATTAACACTACCCCTTCCCTTTCTGCATGAGAATTTGACCTTTCTAGCTCTGTTTCCTTGGTAACCAGGTAAGGTAGTATGTGGTAACTGTGTTGCTAAGCAACATTGCTTATGGTACAAATGAATTTATGTTGGTAGATTATATTTGCACTGAGACAATTACAAAGAACTGATTGGAAACTAGAATTTTTGTCTTGAGCATTGTAACTCTTATATATACACATATCCTTTGGGGGAATCCTGCAATCTATGCTTATGGGATTGAGAAAAGAAATATTGGTTCCTGTGGCTTCTGAACTCACCCAGTGTGAATCTTGGTCCTTCCCACCTATGCTGTCACCTGGGGTTTAGAACTAAGGGGTCAACCAGCACAGTTCCTGAAGGGCAGTGTCACCTGTTGAATACAGTGTCAGGTGGACCACCTAATGAATACTGTCGGCTGGCTCCTGCCAGGAGCAATGACGCCTGTCCCGTGTCTTTCTGAGTAGAGTGGTGTCCATGTGGCTGACCAGTCCTGGAGGCTAAATACTTACTTGGGCTTAAGAAGTAGGCCCCATGGTGGATGTCATCCCAGACGATGTTGGTAGTATTTTCCTTTCACTGAGGTGCTGTAAGCTTTGTGGCTTTTCCTTTGTTTCCCCTTTTACTTGGCATAGTACTACACTCTACCCAAAAGGAATTTCCTTGCTTTTCATGTATCCATGTTCTTTTTCCTACTGAATGTCTATATTACATCAGGAAATTACAGGCAATTTGGGAGATAAAATATTCACTTCCTTTTTCTCCTTGAGAGTTCATGGACATTTTCACAAAATCAAGGTTACTGGTATTTAAACATTAAGAAAAAAGGCACAGATTTTGAGACTCATGTTAACTAAGTGCTCGTGTGTGCATGTTGTCCCTGATCATCACAGTCTGAACGTTGCTGCTGATGGGTACCCACTGTTCCCTGCAGTTGACGACTACTTTGAAAAGTGCTGGTTTCCTCTATTACCACTAAATATAAATATTCCTGAAACTATAGCTCTAAAATAATGGTATTTTTAATTCTGCAATTTAGAATCCATCAATGGATAATCTAATTTTGTAACATAGTCAATGTAGGCTTGTACTGAGAACTTTAAAATAATCTGTAGTTGTGCATAACAACTACTCTTGGGTGGTAAGATCAATTCCTGAAGATCTCACAAATGGGGTGAAATCAGCACGAGTGCACTGCATATTGGTGATGAATAACCTGCAAAGCATGGAAACCATTTTCTCACAAGAACATTTTATGTTTGCATGTGCGTGTGTGTGTGTGTGTGTTTGCCCATGATGTCACTTTTCCTGTAATAATTACAGAAAAAAAACTCAGCCAGATTTCTCATAACTAGTCCTCCATGTCTAATTCAACTGTGTAATTAAAAAAAACACATAACTACTGTTTAATCAAGTGTATTCTTTCTCTTATTAAAATTAAATGCGAAATGGAAGAAAATCTTATTAAAAGTGATTAGACTTCCTGAATTTATGAAAGAAAAATAAAGTGAGTTATTACATCCTTTAGAGTCTAAGCAAATTAATATGAAGTGTGACACATTGAAAAGTACTGCCAGGAAATTTTTATATTTTGTTTTTATAAATATCAGACAGCTTTATCTGCTGAACCTTGTGAGGGGCTACACAAGATCTTATACAAAAGTACCAGGAATGAGACACAAAATGCTCTTCAGCATAATGTTTTCCTGCTACTATGGGAATAGAAACAGTTGGTGGGTAGATAATGCTGTGGCTCTTGTTCTCTTAGGATATGAGGTAAACTCCACCACACACAGAAACCTGAATAAAACTAATTTGTGCCCATAGGTGTATTTATACACCAGAAAAATTGGATTTAAATTATCCTGGATATGCTGGGAGAGTGAAGCATTTGGACAGCAATTCCTTTTAAGATTCATTCTGTTTTCTAATTTCATATATTAAACACTTGGAATCTATCACTCTAAAATTCCCCCTATGAGAAAAGAAATGGAAAATAATGGAGAATACTTCACTTATACTCTCAAACACTACTAGTCGAAGTGCCCAATGGTACTACTGAATTAGAAAATTTGGGGTAGAGTCTAATAAATATGAATCGACCTTATGACTAGAATTACACTCCTAGGTGTTTATCCAAAGGAAATATGCCCAGATGTCCACAAGAAGACGAGTACAGAATGGGCAGAGCAGTCTTATTCGTAGTACCCACAAATGGAAGCAACCCAAATGTTCATTAACAGGAGATAATGAATAAACTATTGTGTGTCCCTGTGACAGACAATACTCAGCAGTAAAAAGAATAAACCACTGATACATGTAACGCCTTCTGTATGATTCTGTTTAAATGAAATTTAAGAATGGGCCAAAACAAAACGCAGTGATAGAAGCAACAACAGGGATGCTTTGTGGATGGGTGTTGTGAAAATTTATGGGAAAGGGACAAGAGGGAACTTTCTACGGTGAAGAAATATTCTGTGCTTTTTTGTTGGGTGTGGATACACAAGTATACACATCTGTCAAAATTCATTGAACTGAACACGTAACATCTATGCATTTTATCTTATGTTAATCACACTTCAATTCTTTAAAAATAGGATTTTTAAAAAAGGAGCTGTTATAAATTCTGAGCCAACACCTTAGTGGGGAGAAGCTGTAAAGAGAGCTGGGAGTCTGGACAGCTGCTGTGCAGCAGATAATTGCGCAGGCAGGTTAATGGTTCTTCTATGGTGCCTCCAAGCAAACCTTTTAATTCTGGAGGCATGGCACCAGCCTACACATCTAGCATGCCTTACATGCCCATATCTAGTCAAAAAGTTTTGAAATAATCATTCTGTTTTCTAATTTCATATATTAAAACTGTGCCTGAAACATACTCCTACTAATGTAATATGCAGAATTCTCATTTTCTTCAGATAGTATTTATGATACTGGTCTCTACACACATTTCTTTGAGCTTTTAACAATTGAATATGTGTTAAGTTAGAGAAAAATTATATGCAAGTAAGTCCTTGTGAATTATTCCAATTGCTAGATGTCATGAGCCACTCAGAAAACCATATACATTACTTCAAATACACTATTTAATAGGGCAATCAATAGCATTGTCAGAAATGTAATGAGGAAAAGAGAGCACGGTGATGGAGCTTAACCTTAAGGAAATGGCCTGACGTCACATGAATCCCTCCTTTAAGGTACAAACATATGAAAAGTTACATATAGCTAGAGTATGAGCAGTAAGCAACAAGAAGTCTTCTGAGCCATGTGATAGTCATTTACTAATCGGACTTACCAAAAACTGGTCCAAAGAGACAGCAGTTACAAGGACCTAATTTATCCTGAGATCCTGAAAGTATCTCAGATTTCCCCCAGAAATTTCTGTAGTATTACATGCAGAAGCATAGTGTTCTTATATTGTCCTTGGAAGTCAGAAATGTGTCTTTCCCCACAACACACACACCAGGGCCTACTCCTCGGTTACTACATTATTTTTACGCAGAGGTAATTCACATGCCTTCATATTATAAATATGTGCAGGTTAAAATTTTTTCCATTTAAGTTTATCATATTGATTTATATAGCAGGTGTAAACTCTCCAAAAGAAAATGGCATATTAGATTTAGTTTCTATATTCTTTGCTCCAAGCTGGACACATTCATTAATATGAGTGCTACCTATTATTGCTTATACATTGGGTCAAGAAAACATAAAAGAAATGATTTGGGCCCACTGCTGTATTTTATATTTACAATGTGAAAGGTGTTACCCCAGAAAATGTCATTTTCCCTTTGAAATGGGATCTGCTTTTCAGCTCAAGTTCAAGTTGCCTGGAGTGGCAGCATTTAAAAACTAAAAAGATTCCATTTCAGCACAATTCAACATCAGAGGACGGAAAGAGAAACTGCAGACCTTTTAAAATCTGTTTAGTCTTTGCATTATTTTGTTAAGATGATAGACTTGGCTCCCTTTAAGGGACTGAGATTGAATATTGAAAATTGTAAAGCCAACTTGCTAGGCAAAACCTAAGGGAAAATGGCATTTGATTAAACACAACAAATGAATAAGTGCCAAAGAATTACATTTAAGGGCACCGGCAGTCATTTAGTTACAGGCAATTAAAAATAGTCCTTGGAAAGCTGCAGTATGGGCTAAGGGAAAATACATTGATTATTGCTGCAATAGTAGACTGCTTTCGGAATAAATTGCTTCAATTTAAAACTAGATTTGCTACAAGCATTTTGAGCAATGACTACAATTTTTTCTTATCAAGACAGTTGCACTGAGCAACGCTTTAAAAGAAACAGCTAATTAAAATAAAGCGCATGCCATCTCTTAGTATATTGGATTACATTGCAAATAATAAATACCTTTGGTTTACACTAATCTTGTGGCAATTACCCATGGTAGTTTAGGATCCCTTTCTTTTATTAGCCTGTATCTGGTAATATTGTTTGCAAAATTTTTCTGCTAGATATCATGGAAGAGGTAAAAGATGTTAGCAAAGTAAATCAAAATTTTATATGTAGTTTGGAACTTTTCACTTAGAGTTTTTATTTTGTATCTCTACATGTATTTATATTTATCAAATCTTGCTTAAAGTATAACTGAAGATTTTAGGTGGCTTATTCTTATATAGTTCACCCTAAAATTGCTTCATTCATTATATAAAGTCCGTTGAAATGCTCTGCCCTGATTTATATGCAGAAAACGCAAGTTTGTGGGGGAAATGCATGATAGACAATGTAATGATCCCAGTTTATTCATTAGCCTCACCAAGTACATTTCTTCTTCTCTCATTGTGTTATAAAGAGCTAAACTTTATAAGGATTTATCCATCCACATAAATTCATATGCATATTTATTTCTCTGGAGCAG